CAAGAGATTATCCCGCCTCAGCCTCCCGAGTGGCTGGGATTGCAGGCACCTGCCATCATGACTGACTAATTTGTATATTTTTGTAGAGACAGGGTTTTACCATGTTGACCAGGCTGCTGTTGAACTCATGACCTCACGTGATCTGCCCTTCTCAGTCTCCCAAAGTGCTCAGATTGCAGGGGTGAGCCACAGAGCCCAGCCTAGAGTGGATTCTAAATTTACCCAAAGGGCTCTGGTATTTTAGAGTTTGCTTTTTAAAGTATGTATTATTTATTTAAGATTTACTAAAGATATCTACGTTTTTTAACCAATGGATGCTATTATTTTATGTTGTGAAATAAAAGGTCATAAAACTATGAATGAGAAAGTCTCTAAATGTTTTTTATAAGAAGTGAGTCCACAGGTGGTCTTAAAGGTCAAAAATTATTAATTGATTAAAATTATATTACTAAGTTTTGAACTGTAGTCCTAGAATGCCAAAACATAAATTAAAAATAAAAATAATTATTGAATTTCTGGTTCAGCCCCTTCATGTGATGAATGGCAATTTTTAGCCAGAAGAAGGGAAAGGGTTTATCTAAGACGAAAAGAGGGAGGTTGTCTCTGATCATCAAATTAAGTAGATAATAGAGGCCATTCTGTCTAAAGGTGAAGATAGAAATTCCTTCATTATATTGAACAGCCTCAAAGATCTTTTCCTTTGCTTAAATTAAGGCACCTTCAATTGAAAATCTACATAAAATTAAGTGATGTTCTCTGTTTTAAATAACATTATTTGATTGTCATTTTTGAATGAAGTGGCAACTGGGAAATTCCTTGTATAATATCCAGCACCTGGAGAGTCCTATCAATAAGTGTTGGTCTTCTTTCTCCACATTTTTTTTTTTGCATCTGCCTTGAATTTACACAAATTACTTATTTGTTTTTAAGGATGGGAACTATATTATATCAGTATATATTATTATATTATTATAAACAAAAACTGAAGGTAAACAGAACATCAATTGAATTTTGTCATTTGGATATGAGTGAAACAATGAACAAAAGCTGACTGATATCTGCAGATGAGATCATAGTACAGAACAATGTTAATGTCTTGATTTTAGTAAACATATTGAGACTATATACAAGCATTACTGTTTTGAAGAAATTCTCACTGGAGTGTTAAGGAGGAAAGGGATAGAATATCTGCAAGTGATTAGAAATAAGTAACATTTAAAATAGAAAGAGATGCAGTGGGAATGATAAAGTATATGTAATAAATTATTAATTGAGGAGAAATCTCTGTTACAGGCATAATGCATATTATTGTGATATTTTCATACATGTGAACAAATCCAATTTTACGATAGAAATTATACAAACGTGATGATTTCAATAGGGAAAACTGGAGAAGAAAGAAAATGTCAGTTTTCTCAGAAGTTTGCTGTCTTGAAAATCTTGAAAAAGCTTCTCAGATCTCAATTCATCCAAGTAGTAAAATAAAAGTAGAGGTGGACCTCAAAACCCCCAGGGCCACATAAATTCTCCATTAGTGCTCCTTATTCTAGTCTGAATCATTGTTTGCTACAGGATAGTGAAAAAGGGCAGATTCTATAATGTCAGTTAAGAGTGAACAGATACACATATTCCACTAGTGGAATGACTGTTTTTGTCCAGAACAGAAAAGATAAATAGACTCATTTTATGAAAGAAAACAAAAGGTGGCAATTTATGGCATGTTATAACTTTAACGATTTTTGTTTTGTAATCTGCAGTTCTTTCTTTACTTGTTTGACTGATGGACTCACACATACAATCTTTATATGGAGGCCTAGCCTCTTATCTCACTGACATACTTTGTGAAAGTATTGAGAGCTGAGGACTAATATCCGAATTTACAACCTAATCTTCTACAATTTAGAAGGTGCCTTATCATTTGATCATCACAAGGCTTTTACAATGTAATCAAGAGAAGAATCAACAAACTCAATCTCACAAACTAAATTAAAAGGGACATGTTTCCCCTTTATATCCACGTCAAAGATAGAGAGGCTAGGAGGAATTTAAACACCATGGCATCGTATCTGTCACAGCCATATTCTTCCGGTGGTAGGGAGCTCATTTTTCAAGGCTACCAGTCCATTAACCTTCACAAGAACAAAAATAAAGCAAAACCAAGAAACATTCCCTTTAGAAATGGCATTGCTTCTAATCGGGCTTATATATCTTACCCTGGAGATTTGAAGATGGAACAAAGACTTCTACCTCCCCAGGCAAACAAAATGATACAGACATCCTGAAATAAATACATAAAATGCCTGGTGGTGCATATTATAAACACATTTGTGATTTTTTTTTTTAATGGGAAAAAGACTAGGGCAAGTACCTTATATCACACTTGCTGAATCTGTCTTCAGCTGTGATTTGTAACTGGGAGGGCCAAAGAATCAACCTCATTTATTTTTTTTATGTCTTGGCCTGGTCTTGGTTGCCACTTTACCTAGATTCATTCGCTGTATATATTTAGAACTATTAGTTTCCTGATAAATGCATTGTCAGAAAGCCAGAGGGGAATGATAAGATAGGACATAAGGAGCTCTTGCTTGTTTTTATACAATTCTGTTTGACTTAAGAGATAATTATAACACAGATTGATGCTCCAATTTTGAAACAAGGTAGTAAATCAGCTTAAAATATAGGACTCAGAAAAGCCATTTGCCTCATGATTATAGTTTCTTAAAATTCCTGTGTTCACTGAGATGAGAAGCCATAATCATGCAATATATAGCAACGGTATTGCAGTACTCATTTTTTCACCATAGAAGACAGTTAAATAAACCTAAGTTACAAACTTTCAAATATCATTAGTTGCAAAGTATAAATATCATTAACTGAAGCAAAGCAAAAGCATATGCTGGTTGGTCTGGGCATCTAGCTTCAAGTGGGAGAAATTGCAGATTCAGTAAGCAAGATTAAAATAATGATTCAGTGCACTTCATTTAAAATTCATGTGTTTTCCACAAATCACGTTTACTTATCATCACGAGGAATGTAAAAATATGAGATTTTTGTCAATGTATGAGACCGGAGGCAAAGGGGAAACGAAAGAGAAATTTGGAGTGAGAAACATACATATCTGCATGGATGGACTCTGCCATAGCCTGTATTTAAAATATCTATCCATTGGTATGGTGAAGACAGGGGTCCCTCAAGAAGGATCAGTGCTAGCCCAAGGCTCTGGACCCACCTCTTATGCAAGGAGTTATCGTTTGGTTGCTGAATTGATGAGGAGATTGGAGATGGACCTGAGACACTGAGCTTAGGGGACTACTCTGTGTATTTGAGAAATTAACCAGTAGAGATGCATTTATATAATAACCTGCAGGAATAGATAGAACTACATTTAACCAGTAGATAAATAAATGAAAATATTAACAACCAGAAGAGTCATAATTGTGCACAGTTGCTTTTGTAGATGACATTTATTGTGTCTTTCTTGCTAGTTGAACTAACATTTCTGAGTAAGCCAAGTGATAGAAAGCAAATGTGGTGAGTTTTGGGGCTCATTATTTGGTTACTGGAAGAACTAGGTGATGGGAGAATTTAGTCATCGTTGTTTTCCTTTTGCCTGGAGCATCCAGGACACGTTCTGATATTCTCAGAGCAAAGACCAAAGACCAGAGAAACTTCTGTAATGTGAGTCAAATGAAGATCAGAAGCTGAGTTTATACTCAGTCTTGACAACCAGCTTAGATGTGACTCCACCTGGGAAAGGTCTGGAGGATCGTAATTCTCTGGAGAATCTGTACTTAAAGCATTCTCAGAATAGCATCATGTCTCTCTCTTCTCCCTCCCTTTCACTCCAATTTTTGTATGTTTGTGTAAAAATAAGACAATGATATCTCTGGATTGAACTTCTTGGAATGCATACCTAACTATGAAATCTTATAGCAATAATTAAGCACAACAAGTACCTATCAGTTTAACTTTGTATAAGACATTTTGATTACAAAAAAAACCTGTTTATTACTCATTTATCAGTTATCAATGTTGAAAAATGCTTGTTATATCTCAAAAGGGCATTATTTCTATGTAATATATAATCCATCTATACATTCGAGAGACTCACAATTAAAATTCCACAAGTAAAATCCATAAGTAATCTACATAGATTATTTAAAGGCTGATTAAAAAAAAAAAGATTTACTAACAGTTAAACAAGGCAGAGACAAGTTGTAGATATAAGACAAAGAAAAATGAGATGTTTGTATGCTTTTTAAATTTTTCCATTTCATATTAAAGGACCTTTGCCTATGCCCTTCAAATGTAGGATTTTTTGTTTAATTGGGAAAAGATTGTCATTGTAAAATACAGCTGATGAAATCACCTATCAGTTCATTTCAGGACATTATTTAAATTGATGATTCTAGTTGTACCTTACTAAGAGCTCTTTTTATTATGCTTCTTTCTAAATTTACTATATTTAATTTTTTAACATAAAGCTATATCTGTTAAATAAAATTGGTTATTTTCTTATTATAAACTAAGGCAAGATTTATAACTATCAGAGTTATAAAACACAGAGCTTCTTAGAAGTATAAAATAATAAAATAATCATATTCAAAATATCTAATTTTAACTAAGCTGTTTACAGTTTTACATATCCTGCATAATTCTTTTTAAAGCTAAGATTCAGGGCCTAAGTTCTTTGAAATATAAAAATGTTCCCCTCAAGGAGTCTCCCTACTACTATCTGAGAGCCTCAAATATTTAAGGATTTCAAATGGGAAACAATGGGTATAAACTAGTTTAAAAATCACCTAACAAATCTGGTTTATTCTCACCTGAAGAATTAAATTAAATTATTTAACATATTATGACTGTTTAAATGCATCAGGAGACAAAATTCTGGGGCTCTCTCAAATCATTTTTTTCTTCCACCCAGTTTTCTGCTCTCTGTCAAGACCATTGCTTGCACTTGATACGATAGGGGTAAGAAGCATCTAGAGTGTACTCACCAGCCTGATTGGTTGTGATGCTGACTGCAGCAAACTGTCTTGGTGGGGAGCTCAGCTCTGACACCCCATTAATGGCATCGATCTCAAAAGTGTAGTTAGTGTGTGCCAGGAGGTCTGTCACTGTCACTGTGGTGTTGGTGAGTCCAAACTGTCGAGGGAGGAAGCGGACATTTGGCCTGCATGGCTCACATTGTTTTATGTTCCACCCACATTTTTTACATATGATGTTGAAGGTAACATCTTTCCGGCCTCCTGTGTCCAGGGGCCAACTCCAGTCCAGGATAACTGAGGTCTCGTTTATATTAGAGATAACATTTCTTGGTGAAGATGGAGGTCCTGCAAAGTAGTTCAACAAAGATTAATAAGCCTCACTTCTGTTTTCTACTACAAGGGAAATAGATAATTTACAACAGAATTGAAAGAGGTAAATAACTCTCCTTTCTTTATTATCTACTTTCAGTTCATCCTTAGAGGATCCATGAGATTACAGACACATGGATTCAAGAACACTGTCTTCCCCAGGCTGCAAATGGGGGAGTTTTGACTCAAGAGTAAGGATACACTTACAAAGTCTAACAGAGGAACTCACCACTATGTTCAAAACCCTTGTGAATAGTTATGAAAACTTTAGTATTAGTTTTATAAATCTTAGTCCTTTTTCCCTATGACCTATGACCAGCATACAACAAGAGGGAATAGAAATGTAAAAACATAAATCCCCTGTCTATAACCTCCCCTATCCTGTCATATGTAATGCAGGATCTAAACAAGACACAGAAAAATGTTCTCTCTTTCTGGGGGTTGTGTTGCAGGAAGTGCTTTAAAATATAATTTATTTTGTGTGATAGATGTTGCATTTGTGGTGAGCCAGGCATGGAGAGTGAAGCAGAGAAAGCTTTCAATTTGCACATGGGCAACAGAAGGAAATGGGCCAAATGCTTTAAAACAAAAAACAAACAGCACAGTCACAAGAAGAAAACAAAACAAAACAAAACAAACATGGAGGCATGGGTTGCAGCAAAACTACTCACGGGTACAAGCCATGGATGGAGGGTCTTTGTCTGCTCGGAAGTAATTATTCTCACACCTGCAGTTCATTGAACCATCTTCCTGAGTAGAACTGTGAGGTGGACATTTAGCACACTTCATATTACCATCCAGCGCCTTGTAGAAACCTGGTCGACAAGCTACAAACAAAATGACTCTCTTTTAAAAGTCTGTGATAATTTTTTTGAAAATATGTAAAACAGATTTCAGTAAGTTAGAATATGAATTCATTATAATTAAAAATCACTTTTTTTTTCCTCCCAGAATTTACAGAAGCAGATGATATGGCCTAGTGTAGTTTTTCTACATATATGTTTGAATTTGCAGCAAAGTTAAAAAACACATGCACACACACACACACACACACACACACACACACACACACACAAGATTTAGATTATTTTGGCACTAGAGTATGATGAAATTTCCAGCTTGTGTTTTCACAGCTTTACTTGGCATTGGACTATTTGTGAAGAAAACAAAGCAAAACGATGTCACCATGTAGACATTCGCTTTTCAAAACATGATGCAATGCGTATACTGTCAGCATTGCAGTGAGCAGTGTGTAACATGGACTTGTTTTCTAATTGCTCTGTGTGTACAACTTTGCCCCACAGAGTGTAAGCAGCTGAAAGAAGAGATCATGGCTTTCTGGATATTTTTGGATTCTCAATAAATAATTTTCATGAGCTACAATATACTTTTCTGGCTTGACAGTATTTTTCCTTACCTTCTATGGCAATGGCCTAAAATAAATATTTAAATATATTCCTTTGTCTGTATCTGAAATACAGAGGGATAAATGGTTTCTTATTAAACTAATACACCTGTAAACTGTTACTGTATGAGATCTCTTTTAATAACTGTGTTATCTTTTTAATTGCTGGCCATATCTCTGCATACAATGATTTTTGTAAGTCTAATGACCTGGTTATTGAACACTGATTTCAGCTTATAATTTACTGTTCAGCATCTATTTACTGTTTTTACAGAGATATGCCTTATCTCTTTATCTGCCTCCACTATATTATTTTCATTTTGTCTAATAGAAAATTCAAAATGTTGCATTACTTCTTTTCAGTCATTTTCATAATTATAGTGAGAGCTAAAATCATAGTGAAAATTCCAACAAGAAGTCTCCAGTAATTCTTTTGAGAATAAATTCAGGATGCAAATTCTGGATCCAGGATCATCCTTGGAAATCAATACTTTCTAAAACTTCTAAAGCTCAATTTCAGTGCCATATTGGCACTTGATGATTTAAAGAACTTATACATAGAATAGGCTCTATAGACAGTCATTGCATTCTAGAATTTTCTTATATTAGCTTTATATTGTGAATAGTGGATTATTAGCATTCAAGTAAAACCTGTGTGGACAAAGCAATTTTTCTAATCCCCAAATACATTTCTGAAAAGAAACACAATATATCCATGGTAGAATATCTTCTTACTAAAAGTTTCTTAAAATAAAATGAGGGAAATACACCATCAAAATAAACTATTCAAATAACTTAAAATGATAGCAACCATTAATCTAGTCTTACTGTTCTGTAGTTCCTACTAAGAATGACTGCTCTAGGACCAATTTACAATATATTGAACAACTTTTGGTGTCACACTGAGATCCACTTCATGTAGTAAATTCTACGGCTCTAACCAAACATGGATTGCTATTATAATTTTTAAAATATTATCCTTAAGCACTGGTTAAAAACTTCCACTCATATCTCATATCACATTGCCTCAGGGAAATGATGTAAAGTATGTAAAGAAACAATGCACTTAAATTCTGTTTTGAATTTAGCTCATCACTGAATGCCTTTAAACTTTTAAGAGGGCAGTGCTGCATTTTTAAAAGATTAAGTTGCTGTGCTCTGAAGTACTTTGTTATTTCATTTGCTTGTAAGTTTCTCGGTGTTTTTGTTTGAGACTTTCATGGTTTTTACATTTGGCACACCGGTATTCACTGAACAGTCACTTTTTGTTAGTATCATAATTGGCTATACTATAGAATAGTATGGACTATATGAAGAGAAGACAGTCACATTATCACTTCCTAGGTACTGCATAAATTATCAGGATTACTGATAGTATCATGAAGGTAGCTACAGTTAATAAAGCATAAAGTTAAGAATGCCACTCAAGTTACTAGAATTTATCCGATTATGAGTAAATAATAATCCAGAGAAAACAACAGTAAAAGATAGGTAGGCACGTTTACATACTGTATAATAAATATTTGTCAAGCATCTATTCTTGTTTGGGCTCTTTGACATCCCAAAAGGCAGGGCAGGCCCAGTGGCTCACACCTGTAATCCCAGCACTTTGGGAGGCTGAGGCAGGGGGATCACGGGGTCAGGAGTTTGAGACCAGCGTGGCCCATATGGTAAAACCCCATCTCTACTGAAAATACAAAAATTAGCCAGGTGTGGTGGTGCATGCCTGTAGTCCTAGCTACTTGGGAGACTGAGGCAGAAGAATTGCTTGATCCTGGGAGACGGAGGTCGCAGTAAGCCAAGACTGTGCCACTGCATTTCATCCTTAGCAACAGAGAGAGATTCTGTCTCAAAAAAAAAAAAAAAAAAAAAAAAAAGGCAAAAATGTCCGTAATTCTGCTTTGCTCATACCCAAAGGGCCCTTGCAATAGAAATTGGGCAGCGGGCATGTGATACAAATCATGCTAAGCAATCACTCCACTGTGACTGGTATTTGGAAGAGATGCCACAGAAGAAGCACCATTTGAGAAAAATCATACATAGATAGAAGTGGACAGTATGAAGCATAATTCAATACACAAATAATTCAACATGAAAAGACAAACTATTATATAGAAGTATATGGCAAGTAGTGTTGGTACTCAATATCCAAACTCTGCTTCCTTCTTGCCAGCAGAATCCTGATTTTGCTCAGAATTGAAGCCAGTCAAATCCTTCCTTTCCCAGACCAATGCAGCTAGAGATGAATAGCCAAAGACGGCCAAAAAGGTGGCCGAGGAAATATACACAGAAGTCTGACTGAAGTCTTTGAGACACCTTTTTTTTCTCTAACAAGATGGTACAAATGCAACTGAAGCGAAATTATTCCAGCCTTCATTGTGGACATTATGGCTGGGATTGCAGCAGCTTACATGTGATAATAAGTGAAAGGTCAAGAAAATCAGCACAATGTGTTTTCTGATCTTGCAACCTGATCCAGCAACCACCAATCTCAGGATTTCTTATAATGTCAGAAAGCGAATACCCTGTTTGTTTAAGTCACCGTGGCTTAGGTTTCTTTTACTTGCAGCAGACGGTATCCCTACGTGACGTAGAAGGATAAATAGGGAATTAAGTTGAGATGTACTAATTGAATAGAATCATAGCCTAATAAAGCCAAAGGAGCCTTAGAAATAACATTGACCACTATGTGTGTTGTACATATGAGATCAGTGACGTCTAGAAAGTTAAGTGACACACAGTTTAGAGACAGACAATCTGACACCTGATAGCTGGCTAATAGGCTTTAACCACCAATATGTAAATATTCATTTAATGCCAACTATATGCAGAGTAAAATGCTAAAAATTCTATAATAACATTTAATTTTTTTATAGTTGTCTTTACTTCTTCTGGAGGACTTTTAAATGTACCATCTCAATTAAATCTTATCACAGTTCTACTGAAATAATCAGTGTAGGTATAAGTCTGTATATTTTATAGACTGTACAATTGAAACACCAATGGAAAGAACAGCATGTGCAAGATAATAAAAGAAATTCAACGATATAATTTGAACAGGGAAGGTATTTTTCTTTAATCTTATAAAAATCAATTATTGAAAGCAAATGATTTTTCTCTCAATTCTAAGCTGTTGATATGATGTTGACGAATAGTCGTTTAAATTTTTATTTAATCAAAAATGTAAATCTTTTTCATCTATTGCAAGTGAGTAAACATCTCAGAAAGGCATATGCTTTCTTGTACATGACTTTCTCTGGGATTTAGGACCCTACCCTCTCCCTCCCCCCCTCCTCTCCTTCCCTCCCCTCCTCTTCCCTCCCCTCCCCTCCTCTCCCCTCCTCTTCCCTCCCCTCCCCTCCCCTCCCCTCCCCTCTCCCCTCCCCTCTCCCCTCCCCTCCCCTCCCCTCCCCTCTCCCCTCCCCTCCCCTCCCCTCCCCTCTTCCCTCCCCTGCCCTTCCCTCCCCTCTCCTCTCCTGTCCTTTTCTTTCCTCCAGGTCTGGCTCTTCTCACTCTATTGTCCAGCTTGGAGTGCAGAGTCATGATTACAGCTCACTACAGCCTTCACCTCCTGGGCTCAAGCAATCCTCCACCTCAGCATCCCAAGTAGCTGGGATAACAGGTGCATGCTACCATGGCCTTGCTAATTTTTAAAACTTTTTGTAGAGATGAGGTCTCACTATATTTCCCGGGCTAGTCTTGAACTCCTGGCCTCAAGTGCTTCACCCCATTCAGCCTCCCAAAGTGGTGGGATTACAGGCTTGGGCCATCGCACCGAGGCTTTCTCTAGGATTTTTTCTGTGTTTGATATCTAACACTGATATGGGCAAATGAGTAAGTGTCCTTTTAGTTGGAAAGGCTGCAGGAGTTTTTCAACTTCACAATAGAACAACAGTGACATGCTGTATTTGGGAGGAAGATAAGTACATTTTCTATTTCTTGTTCAAGTAGTGTCTCAATTCTCCACCAAAACTGTTCAATGAATTTGAGAATATGACTTGAGAATGTATAAAATGATTATTTTATAAGGAAATAATCTCTATAAATGTATAAGGAAAATGTTTTTCTATAACAAACCGATTTTTAAATTTATCTCACCAATAAGCAATCTCTCTCCCTTGCAGTAAATCAACTTGTGCTCAACTACCTATCTGTCTATGATGCCCTCATCTCTCAAAAAATCTTCCTGAGAGTATTAGAGACTTTAAGGCGCATCCATACCTTTGTGTGTGTGTGTGTGCGTGTGTGTGTGTGTATGTGTGTGCATGCTTGTGTGTGTTTTATCTTTGCATAATTTGTCTATTGAAAACATCTCCTCTCCTCTTTTAAATGTAAAGCTAGTGAATAACAATCTGCACATTTCTCTCATTTAAATAGTTTTATAGGCTGAAGGAGGTTGCACATATAAGAGAATAAAGTAAG